ATATGTAGGTACATATCATATTAACCCATATTTCACTAGTGTTCTTTCTTATAGGTATCTATTTTACTAAATTATCCACCTTCTACCTTTCCAAAAAAATTTATTGTTAACATTGTTTTTTGTAGAAAAAACCATTCTCGGTTTTCACATGTTTTCAGGTTCCTCTTCAAAATAAAATTTATTAATTAAGTAGTTAGGTATATGTATAATTTATAGATTATAAATAATTGTTAATAAACAATTTTCGGAGTGAAAATACTCTCAGATGTATTTTTACGCCTTTGAAGTTTGTCAGAACGCAAACGCCATGTTTTAGATGGAAACATAGACTCGAATTAAGAAATTTGTGACAAGCTACGGCAGAACTGTAATTTAAATTTTTAGAGATTAATAATTTACTACTTTTGAAACAGTAATTTAATATATTCTTCAACTAAAAGTGCGAATAAGATAGTGCATATTATGTCTGTAGTTACCGTAAATAAATTTTATGGTTTATATGGGTTAATTTGTTTATGCACACCAGATAAAATGTCACTGAACAGCACTATTTCCGACTAAAACATGGCTGATTCCGTGTGCGCGAACGAGATGCGCATACTTTTTTTAAGCAGAGTGGGCATTCTGATTGTTTATTATCAAAGTATATACTTTATTATTCTGTGACCTAAGTACTTATTAGGTATCTATAGTTTTTAAAACGACGAAATAAAAAGAAATATATATTTTAAACATAGTGTTTAATTTAAAACGCTACAAAATCGTCTATCTATGTATTAAAAACTACACAAATGTACCGGCGGCACTACATTAATGAGTCAGGTCAGTGAGTCGTGACAAGTCGTGAGTCGTGAGCAATTCGTGAGTCTATGAAAAAATAATCTTTGATTCCACAGTGACATTGACGGTTGACATTTAAATGTCGGAATATTTTGGGGTGACAACAAAAAATCTTACTACTTTTATATTTTGTGTTTGAACGTTTATGTACTTTATTACCTACGTGCACAAAATAAACATAATGTAGTTAAAGTGTGGATGATAGTTTTTGCGATAACTTAAAACTTATTAGTTTCATATATTATTATTTATTTGCATAATAGCCGTTAATATCTAATATAAATAAACTAGGAACATCCATTAAGTAAGAAATTTTACTACACGTTTTTCATAAAATACCTAAGAATGTCAAAATATTTAGTACAACTTTATACAGGATTAACAAAATTTGGCTTGAGCTTTTTTATGAGTGTGTGATCTGAAAACATAGTTTGAATTCTATTGGAGTTTCCTAAAGCCATAAATATATCTGATATAACTGTAGAGTCTCCATAAGATACAAACATTCGATAAAATATTTCTAAAATGCTAGGTAACCAAAGCACTGTAAATGTTAACAAACAGATGTTTTGTTGTTGAGCCTTTTCAAAGTTTGTTTCCTTGGCTAATGTGTGTGTTGTCTTAGCATACAAGATTGCAATAAAATAACAAACTATGAATATAAGAAAGTAATATACCTTTAAGAAAACATTTGGTTTTGAACATATGTTGGTAGCATCAGTAACATTTCTTGATTTTTGTGAAACAAAATAGATTACGTCTGTCATCATAGGTGTAAAGTGAGTTGTTTTTTGATCAACTTTTTCTTGTACTTCACTAACTATATCATAAATTTGGTTAACCACTCTATCCACTTCTGACGAAACATTTGCTGAACTATATGCCTGTGGAATTACATTAGCCTCCATAGGAGTCATAGTAAAGTTTGCTCTAGATAAAATGTTTTCTTCATAATTAGGGTATTTGTATTCTGCCCTACTTGAAAAATATAAAATTGTGACTCCCAATATAGGTAGCAACCATGTTAACAAGATCTGTATAATCAATCTATGATTTTGATAAAAATTAATTTGTTTTTTAGCCTCAATATTGGATCTCGTTGGTGTTCCTCTTACTTCAAATAGCTTTAAGTTTGGACCAGTTTGTGAACTTCTACTAGTTCCGCTCTCAAAAAGGGGACCCACTGGAGCCGACATATCATTTTTTTCACTACCACTTATATTAAGCACTTCACTGTTACTATTGCTGTTATTGCCACTCACTGATGTTGTTTCATTGTTACTGTCCTTTCTAATACACTCACGGCACTGAATAGTATTTTTTATTAAAGTTATTAAACAATGTACAAATGAAAAAAGAAGTAAAGCATTTTCAATAAAAAAGTTGTAGTTACAGTTGTTTTCTTCAGGTTCAAGCTTAATAGCTCTAGAAGTTTTTATCATAGGAGGACCATACTTCATATTGGCAATAGTTTGGTTTAGTATTGAAGAATTTGTTCGTCTATGTTTAATCATTTCTTTAATAAAGTTCTGATAGTTTTTAACGAACTGTTCAGTTTTGTTAATTTCTGGAACCTGTGTTGGTTTTTGTGTTGTAGTAGTACTTGTAGAATGCTCCGTAGTTTGTATTTCTTCTTCCATATTTGCAGCAAATAAATCAATTGTGTAGTTTTCTATATTTTCTTCCAGTTCTTCATTGAATTGGGTATATTCATGATTTGCAATAGTTTCACTTGTTGTTATATCTGGTTTTTTGGTGACAAAGAAAAAGTCAAAAGTATCATTTCTTATTAGTATGTCATCTATAGTATTAGTAAAATTTACTAGTTCTGTATGTGATACATTCGATAAAGTCACAGCTGAAAAGATATAAAAAATACCTATGACAATTGTAACTAATGCTTCTGACACTGCAATAACTACTTCACTATTAGCTTTGTTTTCCAAAATATACTTCACAAATATGTAGACATATGCAACACCTGCTAATGTCAGGACTGCACCAATAACAGAGTATGTTTCTAACATTGTGCACCAAATACACTGCTGACTGTCTTTACTCAATATTTAAAATGTTTGTACTGTTCTTGTTAGGCACCCACATAATCTTTCTCGGATAATGGGGGTATATTTATCTATATAACTGTATGATTTATCAAACAAAGAGTACAGCTACACACATGTATAATTATATACATTTTACTGATTTTAGTTAAGGTATTCCAATAATCAGGAGAAAACTGGGACATAGGTAGATAAGAAAAACTCATTGCCACCTGGAGTTATTGTTTAAATTTATTTAAAATTACATGGAGTATCTAAAAAACATTACATTGTGATAAGACAAATAATTTTAGTTTATAAAAGGATTAATAACTTTAGTGGCAAGTGAGAGATTTTAGTGGTGACCTAATGTTTTTATGCAATGGTATTTTTCCATCAATTTTATTTGACCTATTTTAAGTGTTTAATAGTTTGTCACTATTTTTCTTTACTTAATACAATTAATCATGTACCTCTAGAGTTTCAATTTTTTTCTTTTAGTCCCCTTTTAATTGATTTATTCAGGTCATCTCTTGAGCATTTTATATGCATGCATGTTATTATTGGATCTTCTTGGATTTTTGTCTTTGTTAATGGATACCTGGTTAATGGATGTTAGTGACATCCTTTCCAGCATTGAATTCTTAGAATGCTGATACTTGTGTTTTGTTATTATATTGATATATTTTTCTTTTTGTTGTATTTTCTTTCACCTATCATTATAAAGTTGTTTTAACTGGTTCTCATTCAATCTGTTATATGGGATATTATTGATCCTATATATAATATTTATTTATGGATAATTTTGTTTGTATATCATCAACCATTTTTGTTTCAAAGCTCCATCAGAATTTGCTTTATTATACTTGTGTTTGATAACCTATATTTTATCAGTTTTCTTTCAAATTCATATTCGATAAATATGTTAATACATTTTTAATAATCATCAATAATGTAAGAAGTATCCAATAATTTCAAAAAGCCTTTTACCATCATCTTTCCAGGAACCAACAAATAATAGTTGAATAAAACGAATCTCATGGTGACAGATCTGGTGATAATATCTAATGCTGGTATGCAGACGGCTCTAAAACTGATGAAGGAGCTGAAGTACTCAGTAAATCACAGCTGAGCCTTAGTGAAAGCCTACGTAATCACTCCACTATCTTCCAAACAGAAATATATACGATAAAGATGTGCCTGCAGGAACTAATAAAGAAGAACTTTAGGGACATATCTATACAAATGTGGAACTGTCTTCAGAATCTGATTAGGATCAGAAAAAGTAACAAAGTAAGTTTACTCTTGGTGCCTGAACATAACGGTATTGAATGAAACAAAAAAGTGGATCTACTTGCCAGGGGAGGGGCAAAAGAAACAAAAGAAACATTTACAGACTGAGAACCTGGAATAACAAGAAGCATAGTCAAAAGAACTATATTGGATTTGCTGTAATGGATGAAATGTAGCAACTGGTAGAAACAAATGGTCATGAAACATTCATAGGCTTTTGTACTTAAACCTTTGAAGAAGAGATACAGAGCTCTACTAGATTTGAATAGGAATGATCTGTGAATTATCATAGGTCTCCTAACAGGACACTGTCGCTTCAAAGGGAACATGAATAAAATCAGACTGACAGAAAGTCGTAATTGCAGATTTTGTCAGGCTGAAGACAAGATGTCGGAACACTTTCTATGCAAGAGCCCAGACTTGAATAGAATAAGGCTCAATATATTTTAGCTTTATCAAACTTAAATACTGTTGATACTTCTACAAAGTCCTACAACTTTGTAGAAGTATCACAAAAAGCCATAACAAATTTTGATAAAAACATAGATATATCCAAAGAATATATCCTTTTACTCTGAGAGTCAAATTTTTTCACAAAATTCCCGTATGATTATTATTTCATCTTTATGTTGATTGTCTTCTTAAGTCAATGTGCATGGATTACAACACAACACCAACAGTAATAATATTACCATTGGTGTTTACTTTTTGACATAATTGAAACCTAAGTTACCTATTTTATCACACTCATGAAGAAGCTAGTCTACATATGTGTAACGAAATGTTAGCCCAGTGATAGTCAATATGATTATTTAATTTTTAGAAATGACCACTAGGAGACAGACTGATCCCATTCATGTAGTTAGAATATGGAATGCTATTAGAACAGCAAACCAGCAACGCATCGCTGCAGATGTGACAAAAATCACAAAGTTTTTGCAAAATTTAGAAAGTGGTTATACTGCAGAAAAAGTTGATCTCTATATCAAACAAGCACTCAATGATAAGTTAATTTGGTAAGTATGCAGTATATATTTAAAGTTTTTACCATAAAATTAATTATATAAAGCTCTGCCCTTTAGACGAAAGGATTGTGGAAACCTTTTATGGTACTGTCTCTCTAGTTTTTATCATGAGTATAAGGAATGTATATAAGTTTCATCCATGTAAATTATGGGTTGATTTTCTTCCTTATAATATTTAATATTTGTAATAAACTTTTTCTGAAGCACTTGTATATCAGGTTTCTCCATTAGAATTTTTCTATTATTCATCTCTTTCCTCCATTGAAATCCCATATGCCCCATCACTGTTCTCAAAGTTTCATGTGACCCCGTATAAATATTGTAGTCACTAAATTTTTTTTGTTATGAGTTGCAAGGTAGAAATTGTTTCTCCTTGACTTAAAAATTTGTTATCACATGATGATGTAAACCTAAAATTATTATAACATCAAGACACCAAAATTAATTTAAATAGCATGAAAACTGATTATTAACATAACCACTTTTATTTTAACATCAAAACTCAAAGCTAGAGATGTTTCAAAAATTGTTGTATCTCTGAAAAAAAACCTATAAACATTAATTATTTTAATTTCATACTGAATTCAGTATAAATTATTAAAAATGACTGTTAGAAGTAATTACTATTTAAATGGGAATAAACCACAATTAAAGTATGTTTATTGACGTTTCAATTTCCACTTCGGAAATCGTTCTCAAAATACAAACATTAGTAAATTAAACAAATTTTGTTTTTTTGTTACTTAGTGAAAAATTCTTCTAATAATTTAATTTTATCTGACTCATTTATATTGACAATTCAGACATACATTATACATTTTAAAATAGACGACTTTAAAATTATATGGCCAATATTGTTGCGTTGCGCTCCTGGGACAACTTTACTTATAAGATAGTTTATTTGATTACATGAAATCAACTTTAACTTGAGAATATTCGTTAGAAAAAATCATAGCATGTAGGTCGTCTTTCAAAAGACGAACACATGCCATAATGACAATAAAATTCTTCTGTTTGTGATTCCATAGTAAATTATGTGGGAAAAACCAGGAAAAAAACCTCATAGTACTATCTTCTTCTTCTTAGGGTGCCTGTCCGTTCCGAATATTGGCGATCATTCTGGCTATGATGATTTTGTTAGTTGCTATATGAAATAGCTGTGTTGAGGTCTTTCTATACCATGCTCTCAGGTAAGCAAGCCAGGATATTCTTCTTCGTCCTGGGGCTCTTTTTCCTTCAATTTTACCCTGCAAAATGCATTGGAGTAGCTCGTATCTGCCTTGTTTTCTCATAATATGTCCCAACTACTCCAGCTTACGGCTCTTCGCAATGTTGACCAAATCCGCGGTTGTGTTCATCCTCCGCAGTACTTCTTCATTGGTGACTTTGTCTGTCCATGGTATCTTCAGGATACTTCTGTATAACCATAATTCAAACGCCTGAAGTTTTGATAGAGTTTCCGCCTTCAATGTCCACGTTTCTACTCCATACAGAAGCACTGAGTATATGTAACATTTAAGGAGCCTTATTTTTGTTTTCAGGGTGAGGTCATGGCTTTTGAACACAGAGCTCATAGCTAAGAATGTACTTTTGGCCTTTCCGATGCGACATTTAATCTCTTGGGTATTGTCCCACGACTCATTGATTATAGTTCCCAAGTAATTGTATAGTGAGACACGTTCAATTCTCATTTGGTTCACATACAGATTTGCTCCAGTTATGTTTTGCTTGCTGATGATCATTAGCTTGGTTTTGCTGGTGTTTATATCCAGTCCATAGGTTCTACTTGTTTCTGTTATTTTGTTCATTAATTGCAGCCCTTCTATGGTATTGGAAAACACTATTGTATCATCTGCATACCGCAGGTTATCAAGCTTGACTCCATTTATTGAGATGCCTTCATCAATATCTTTTAGGGCCTCTTCAAAAATGTGCTCCGAGTACAGATTGAATATCAGTGGTGAAATTATGCACCCCTGTCTCACTCCTCTTAAGATTTTGACCTGTTCTGTATATTCTCCATATATTCGGAGTACCGCTGATTCAATCCCTGTTCTCTTCAGCACTTCCATCATTTGTTCATGCCTGACTCTATCGAAAGCCTTCTTGTAGTCAATCAGGCATGCAAAAACATTACAGCTGACATCTCTACATTTCTGAAACAAGATCTGCACGCTAAATAAAGCTTCCCTCGTACCAACGGCGTTCACAAATCCAAACTGATTGGGCGCAATTCGTTCCTCGCATTTCCGGTAAATTCTTTTGTGGATGACCTTTAAAAACAGCTTCAGCAGATGGCTCATTAGGCTTATTGTTCTATAATCTTCACAAACTTTTGCTCCTGGTTTTTTGGGCAATGGTACGAACTCCGATTTGAGCTACTCTACTGGTATTTTTCCTGCCTTGTATATTTCATTAAATATATCAGTTATTATTTTTATTTGTTCTGTATCTAATAGCTTCAGCAGTTCTGCAGGAATTTCATCAAGTCCCGGTGTCTTTCCATCCTTCATTTGTCTGACGGCTGCCGTTATTTCTTCTGGTAGGATTTCGGGACCTGAATTTTCTTCAACGGTGGGCTCTTGTACTGTTCTAAGGTCATGGAAAAGTTTTCCCAAGTATTCTTCCCATACTTTTTTTTATCTTCTTTGGTTATGGCAAGATTGCCTTCATTATCTGTTATTTTTCCGCTGTTGCGGAATAGTACTATCCCGACATGGTAAGTATTTGGTCGTGCATATAGTTTACCTTCAATAAACCCCAAATTCTGATTTTATATGTTTGTTATTTAAAAAACATTAACAATGTATTCTCTATATGTTACTGACTTATTAATACTGATATTTTCTTTTTAATAAATTCCTCTTTAAATATGGGTAACCAGATCTTACTACATTCTGCCAAGGAATTTTCGACACAGTTGGTCTCATTTAGCATAATATATTAGCTAATGTCATCAACCCATCTCATCCCTGGCCTTCCTCTTGGTCGTTTACTTTCGTAAGGTCTCCAATGTTGTATTGTAGTATTCCAATGTTGGTCTTTTTGTCTAGCAGTGTGGTCCGCGAAGCTCCATTTAAGTTTGGCAATTTTTGTTTTTATGTCCTCAACTTTTGTTTTTGATATTACCCAGTCGTTCCTCTTTTTATCTGACCTTCGTATACATAACATTGCACTTTCCATTGTTCTTTCTGTTGTGGCTAGTTTATTCATGTTTACATTGGTTAGGGTCCAGGTTTGACATCAATATGTCATGATAGGAAGGATGCATTGGTTGAACACTTTGCTTCTTAAGTCTTGGGATATTTTGCGGTTCTTAAGTATCCAACTAAGTTTTCCAAATCCTGCCCATGCTAGTCTTGCTCTTCTAGTAATTTCCGCACTTTGGTTCTCTTTGTCAAGTTTCATGATTTGGCCTAAGTAGATATAGGACTAAGGACGAATGAACCTTGCAAATAGGGCATACTATGGACTAAAAAAAAAACAATTCCACTTAAGAAATATCCAAAGAAGAACTAAAATTATTATATACAAAGCATTGCTGAGGCCGTGGTCACTTATGGGGCGAAAACAAAGACTAACGCAGAAGGATGAAAGACTTGAAAAATATTTGGAGCTATAAACGACCAAGGGCAACGACGCAATAGATATAATTTCGAATTATACCAACTCTTTAATGAGCCAGATATCGTTGTTCATGTTCATGTTCATTAAAACACAACAACTTCGATGGGCTAAACATAAATGCCAGACAATACCATTGCTAAAAAACTAACGACACGAACAGCTATAGGAAGAAGAAACAGAGCGGCGACGAAACTTAGAGCAGGCCAGGATCCACAGAGGATTGTCGAGCTAAAGATAATGATGTCGAGGGAACATGTAAATAAACAAGAAAAAGCGAACATTTAGATTTTTTAATTTTAATGAAATATTAGATTTAACTTGCGATGTATCTGCCGAGTTTAAATATTTCGGTTTCTTATTTTGATGTAATATTATACTGTGGACGTTTCCGCAAAAAATAAATTGCACCCGAACTCTTGTTTTGGGTTATTAACAATATGGCGTTTCTTTGAAAAAATCTTATGCTGCTCGTCTAACTCGTCGGATATTTTTTTTCTAATTAAAAGTTTGTGTTACAAATTTGTGACTTTCTATTTTTAATCAATTCGACATTAAAATTAGTATATTTAAAAAAGCATGCTGGAAAGTTTCAATTTTCTAATTTGAGTAATCAAAAACAGCATTTTTATCTGATGCCCGAGTAGAGCGCAACGTCGTTTAACTCGTTTATTCATAGTACCTGTAATATGCGCAAGAAGAATGATTTCATTTTTGTGAGAAACTTATAATATTTTGATATTTTAATTGAATAATATGTGTCTAATTATGATAGTTTGACAATGTTTAGTCTTTGTTTTAGTTTGAAATAGTTCTGTGAGAATATTGAAGTCTTCTTGGACGTTACTTTTATTGCAACATGATTCAGGGCATGTACATACATCGCAGAAGTCTAATTTTGAATTGATGCATGGACATGGACAATTATTTGGTCCCATTTTTCCCTTAACTATACAAAAATTATTTTGTAAATACTCGGTTGCAGTACTTTTTTAGAAAACATTCGGATGTAACTTATCGTGTTGTTGAATTCATCCATACTTCGTTACTTGATATGAATTAATTGTGGCAAACTAGCCTGGTTTTACTCAATAATTTGACAGATAGACCTTAAATATGACATTTTAATGTCGATTTGGGGGGAGGCAATTTATATATAGATGTATTTTTTACAATAGCTAAATTGTACCTAAGTGACATTACACCTTATCTATCTGTTTTTGATTTTTTCGAAGGGCTATATGTGAAGCTGACAAATAGCTAACAATTTTTATATCTTGTCCTATTAGCAAATAGAATAAGCATTTTTTTGTAAGCTTAATATGTTTTTTTTTCTTGCTAAAACTTTTCCCAAACTTTTTTGTACAACGCCCCCCTTTTGTTGAAATGAAAATTTCTCGTCCCCCACCCTCTTAATAATAAATTGTATGGGCCTCGGAACAAAACAAAAACAAATCAGTATTTGTTTTAATTGCGACAAGTGTTGAAAATGCTTTTTTCGCACAAATAGGTGCTTGAAAAAGACAAATATAAACGAAAAGCTTCCCGTGATACACTTCGTTGGGCAGAGGAATCATGTTTTATGTGCAAAGCATATTCTTAAAGTGATTCAGGCTGGGAGTCTATGTTGACATGGAATGGGTCAGTTGACATTCTGTAAATACTGTCGTCACAAGTGTTTGGGAAATCTTTCTGAAACTCTTGAATTAGGCTCTGCAAATAGCTTGATATTTGGATTTTCAAACTTGATCCTTCATAAATGTCCTTGAAGCGTGTTTCTTCTTCGATCGACTCTACTTTTGGCATATTTGAATAATTGTAGGGGTTTGCGCCTACAATTATTCAAATATTAAAATTATATTTGATATATACAAATATACAAATATTAAAATTTTAGGCCTTCAAAGTGGCAATTTCTCAATATACATTTTGATCGCATCATGATGAGTAACTATTTTTGAGTCTCTACCCTGCAGTTTTAGGTTAAGACTGTTAACGAGTCAAAGATGTCAGTTGATGATAAGCCAATATTACTTGGGACAATGTTTTTTGAAGGCCACGCTTAGTTCATTTTGCGTTTGATGTTCCAAGAAGGTGATTGCTTTATCTCGAAGGTCAAATAATCTTGCCAACATGGTTCCTTTTGAGAGCTATCGTACTTCTGTATGAAATAACAGTGTTTTATGATCACTTCCTAAATCTTCACAAAGAGTTTTAAACAGTCGAGTATTTAACGTACTATTTTTATGTAATTCACTACTTTAATACATAACGTGTAAGACAACATTTAGTTCATTTAGAAGTGCTTTTGCTGTCTAGGCTTGTCGATAAAACAATGTATCCCAGTCACATCAGCATTTTTCTGTCTTACTAATTGCACAAAGCCTGAGCGAGAACCAAGCATTGAAGGCGTGCCATTCGTACATATACCTATCAGTTTTTGCCAAGAGATTTTTGTAAAAAAGTCTGACACTGCTTTCATATCATCACTAGCATTTGTCGTGGTCTCCAACTCTCTAGAAAAGAGTAGCTCTTCTTTCATTCGTTTATTTTCAATATACTGAACATAAACAATTAACTGAGAGCATTGTGCAATGTCTGTACTGTCGTCTAGCTAAATAGCAAAAAATGACGATTATTTTACTGCATCAACTACCTGCTTTTGTATAATACCTGAAGAGGTATTTTAGATAACTTCTGCATTTCAAGAATAATATCAGCTGCCTTTAACAGACACGGTTTAACAAGCGTCTCTCCAATAATATGGCTCTTTTTTTATTTAGCAATAAGAAGTGAAGCTTCATATGAAGTGTCAAGCACTTTTTTAGATGACTTCGCAGTAGAACCAGTACTACAGAACTTTACGTGTTTTAAATTTTCAGACTTTGTTGCAAAAAATTCCTTTAGTTTGTCCTTAAAAGAGTTATGTTTGGATGACAAATGTCTTTCAAGACGATGACGTCTCATTGCATCATTGCTTAATACTTCGTAGCAAATTACACACTGAGGGTCGACATTGTCTTTGAGCCTACAAATAAACCCGTATTTGATATAATCATCATTATACTTCAGTTTCTTTGCTGAGCTCATCTTGACTACGATATCTTCTCTCGCTTAAATCACGCTATATTGAAACTCAACTACGACAATTCAAATCTCATAACACTTGTAATGCAAGAACATATTATGCAGGCTAGGCCGAGGTATCTCAAACACTGAGTCACAATTGGTTAGCTGCGATTAGCAGGCCAGCGTCAGTTTGAGGGAGGGAAGGAGTGAGGCAGTGCTTGGAAACGCTCGGTTGCCACATTGAACGGTTCACATTCCATTTTCCCAAGCCTTCGGTTCAAGTTTTTTTAATAAAGTCAGATATTACAGTGGTTTGTTTTAATTATCTATAGTAGGTAGAAAGACTACCTAAATTTAATTTAATGTTAACTTGTGTAGCGTCAGGTGGGCGCGCCCACCCAATTTGGGAACCCCTGGCTTAAAGCATGTAAAGACAGAATTGCGTCAATGATAGTTGAACCAAGTTTTGTTGCTAAAGAATGTATTGTATTTTGTACAAAACTCTATTCTTTGATACGTTTTGAAGCTTTTTATGTATGCCAATATTAAAATACGTCGGAATGTCAGAAGAATTTATTATAATTGTTTCATTTAGCTCTATGTATTCAAGCTGTTTTACTTAAAATAAGATGGTTACATAAATCTGTATTGGCTCTGTTAATCCGGTGGTTAGCCGATTAAATCGTTAAAATAGGGGACCCCGATTGTTTCAAACTAAAATTAAAATTGAGAGTAATGTTGGTTTAGGCTCCTTTCTTGTCCCTCAAATAGTAGAATAAAAGTAGCGTGCAAAAGTTTTCTATCCAAAATTCTCATATTAACATGTTTGTAATTTTTAGCCCAGTGAAGAAAAGTGAACCAAATAACACATACAAAATTCCTATGCAGGAAGAAGTAAGTAAACATTTATTAAGACAGAGTTCACAAAAGCCACACATTTTCAACCTAATAAACAAAAGCAAATGATTGGAATGCCCCTAAATTTAAAAACAAGAATCAGTTCAGTGACCCGGATATTAACTCAAATAGATTTTAACGTCAGTTAAGATAAAGAGATTTCCCTTTGAAATGATTTTGGTGAAGTCGTCATTAAGTCAGTAATCATTAAAGCATTGTAAATGTAAAAGAGTATTTTTTTAAGTGTTAATTTGTTTTTCGAATTGGAAGTTTTCTTTATTTATGTAGTAATATAAAAGGTTACGGGATCTTAATACTGTTAATATGGATACATGTTTAATTTTATTATTTTATGACGAAATGCTTTTGAATAACTTTGAGCTTTTGGCCCAAATTGTTCTATTCACTTGGGGCACAATCACTTTGGTTTTTAAAACTCGACATATTGCTATAATGATAATGTTATTAGTTAGAATTATTGCAAAATATAATGATGTCGTTTACTTAGTCCATGGCATTATTAAGACAACACAACACGCTTTGAGATTTTTGTTTTTTGTGGACCATATCCTTAGATTATTATTCGTATTCGTTCCGTGCAGCTGAACAAGTATCGCCCTCTATAGGTTATTATACTATCACCATAAGATTTACACCGTAGAAAAGATTTTAAAAATTTCCGGTAATAAACTAAAAAATTGTCATTAATCGTAAATGTAAATATTGTCTGTATATTATTGACATACAAATAACGTCATCGTAGTATTTACGTATTACAAATAAATTTGTTGGCAGTTCAAAATTTAGATATTTTTACAAACACAGTTGAACTTATATGTTATAAACGTTTTAAAAGCTAATTTCTACGTACCCCATATAACGATTGCATCTCTCAGAACGTTGATGCATGATCGAGAACCTACGAGATATCGAGCGAGGTATGGCGAAACAGGTATTTGTAACGAATAGAGGTGGACTATTCAAGATGATTCTAGTATTAGGCCGGCTCCACACATGGGATCCAACGTTGGGTGAACTGTGTTCGTTCGGTGGGGCTAAACACATTGGGTTGAGTATTGAGGCGATATAGGTCTGTTCTCTCCAGTGGCGCACTCAGAATTTTTCTGAGGGGGTTTTGAAATTGTTTTATGCTACCTCCATTTTGAGTCCCTAAAATTTGGGTTTTAGTTTAATTTAAAGTACTAAAGATAGCAGTGCCAAATATTCAGATATCTATTATACTGCCTACCAACTAAAACCACCCCCTCTTACTTGTGCGCATTTGACTGTCGCACGTACCGTACTCCGAAAGTGGGGTGGTCGCTTTAAGGCTGACAACATTTTTGGAACACCCCCTTCTCTTATCTCGATCTTATCTATTGTTCTGAAGCTATTTTTTGTGGCATTTTCAAGTAATTACTATTTTAATGGGAATAAGCCAGAATTGAAGGTTAAAATAAGTTTATTGACGTTTGACAATAATCCAACTTGTAAATACAATACATTTTGGAGACAGCTATCGCCGTGTTCCCGTTCTCCTCCGCCAATCCTCCCGGTCCAAGGCATGCTCCTCCTCGAAACCTCTCGATTCCATCGCTCTTTGGGGCCAGCGTTCGTCAGGCATTCTCAATAGGTGTCTAAATCATTTAGAACCTCTTCTTTATATTCTGTCAATGATCGTTTCTGTAGCATTCATGTTATTTCGTATAGAGTCGTTTGTCTTCCTGCCTTGATGTTCTAGTACTTCTTCTCAAATAATCCATTTCAACTGCTAACACCTTGAGGCATTCGAGATGTGGTGTTACAGGAGAATGTGAAAAATATCATGGGCAGAAAGAGTAACAAATCAAGATGTTCTGCTGAAGATGGGGAAGGAATGCGAAGTCATAAAAACCATACAAACGAAAAAACTGGAATATCTGGGTCACATCATGAGAGGAGAAAAGTACTCTCTGCTTAGACTCATAATCCAAGGAAAAATCTCGGGAAAGAGAAATGTGGGACGTAGGAGGATTTCCTGGTTGTGAAATTTAAGGGAGTGGTATGGGTGCAGTTCAATACAGTTGTTCAGATCTGCAGCCAACAAAGTAAAGATTGCTGTGGTGGTAGCCAACCTCCGTTAGGAAACGGTACTGCAAGAAGAAGAAGAACTGCTAACAATCTTCTCGTAAGGTCTGCATTAATTATCCATACTTCAGAGCCATAACAGAGAACTGATTCAACCATGTTTGCCCTATTCTTTTTTTTGTTCCTTTTGGAAATGTTACGATTAATTTCGTTTTCTCCCAAGCCGTTCTTAGTAATGAGTACACCTAAATATTTAAATTTTTCCACGTCCTCGTCTATCAACACTTCAAACTGTGCATCTGAATTGATAACTAAATATTCTGTTTTCTTCATGGTGACTTGTAACCCCCATTTTATATATTCCCTGTATAGACGCTTTATCATAAATTCTAGATCATAAGAATCTTGATCTAAGACGACTTGGTCATCCGCAAAGTTCAGAGATTTCCATTCCCTGGCTGTAAGGGTGACATACTGCATCCTTGTTTTAGTCCTTTAGTTACTTTTATTGGCTCTGATAGTCTATTTCCGATTTTTAGCTAAGTCTACTTCTGTGATTATTCCTAAAAGGTATGGACTAATGTTGAGTTGTAAAGCTTGCCACAAATTAAGCCTTGAAACTGTATCACACGCCTTTTTTAGGTCAATGATAGCTAGATGTACTTCGGTACTAACCGCTATTCTTTTTTCTACTAATTGTTGGAGTACAAATAAGTTATCAGTGCAAGATCAAAGATTCAAACGTCAATAAACTTATTTTAACCTGCAATTGTGGCTTATTCCCATTAAAATAGTAATTAGATCTTATCTTTGTCGTTGGTGTTTCTCTTCTTCTTCTTTTTTAATGACTGATCGGATGTTATTGTGAACACTATTCCATCCCTCCGTACTTAACGTCATCTTCACGATCATCTCTCTTACAGTCACAGGGTTCATACCTATTTCTTTATACATTCTGTTTCTCTCCACTGTACACCTATTACACACCAGCATTGTGTGAGTAACAATGTCGGAATATTCTCAGTATAGGCATTTATCTGTATCTGTCTTTCTGAACCTATGAAGATACGCCCTAAAACAGACAATCTACCCAGTTCCTTAGGCTCGGGATCAGCATCTTAGTCCACTGGGCAACATCTTTCTGGTTGTTCCACTCTTCTTGCCATATTTCCATTGATCTTTCCCTTTCTTCTTTTTTTATAGCTGTTGTCAAATGCTCTCTTCTCTCATAGAGATGTCCCTTTTCTACTGCTAACACATGCAGAGGAACACAACCCGTGATAGTCCACAAGGCCGCTGCAGATACAGTCCTGTAGGCGCATGCTACTCACAACAGACTCATTCCGTCTACTTTTGTCATAAGCCTAATATTAGGTATCTATATCCAAATATAATGAAAACTATTATTAATTATTGTGTATTTACTTATATAATAATTATTGTGTTCTAGTAAAAGATGAGTAAAAGTATATTTGATAAAATTAAGAAACATAAAATATAAACAAAATTACAAAGTGGTGCAGAAAATATAGTAGCACAGAATTACACAATAATTTTACGTCATTTTGTCTACAGCTTTACTTAACGGTACTAGATCTGTATTTGGCAACTGCAGACTTAATATATGCGTGTAAACATGAAGCTCTGAATCCCATTTATTCTTTTATTAACTCTATTCCCAAATTTCTTAGCCTTCTATTTTCGCTATATTCTGCATCAAACGTGACTTAGCCAATATGGAACTACATATTTTAAAAGTTACATGACTACATGAAGGTGGTCTATTAGGACAAAATGATTATATTTTAAAATTAAAAGCATTTATTTTTACTGAAAAAACAGATATGTATATTATTTATTTATGTAAGAAATACCTTTTGAGCATAAACCCCGTTCTGATAGACCATCGTCGTGTATCGGAGTGTTAATCCTAAACAACTCAACGGAGGTGGCTCAGGTGGTCGAAGATCTATATTGACAATCTACATCTATATTCGCTCCGTGCGTGACCATGGTAGGGGTACATTGAAACGATGCCAGCGTGCGTAGCGGCAAAATATGACAAAATTGGAATATTGGACAACATATTTTTACGCATAAATTTTATCAAAAATGCGTGCAAATACATGTTGCGTATTTAATTGTGCTAATAATGGCAATAATGGTGAGTGTAGTTTTCATAGGTTTCCAAAGATTACATATAAATTAGAGAAAAGAAAAAGATGAATTCGTGCTATTAATATGAAAAAGTAAATATCACATAATTTCATTTTTATGCAATTGAAATAGGAAAAATTTAAATAATTTACCTTGAATGATATTTCATAAGGCTTGGAGCTAACTGCAGATGACTTTAGCTTTTATATCATAACTTTTACTATTATTGTTTTTAATTATATGCTCTTTGCGTGAAAAACTTGATTTGCCAGTACTAGATTTTTTCCTTTCTTTTCCGTTTGGAGTTGAAAAGGTATATTATGATGAATTTTGAGAAACCCAGTTTTTAATACTACATTTATTTTGTACATAAACTGAAAAAATATAGTTAAAAACTAATTTATCAATAATTGTCAATTTCGCATGTATTTAACAATGTCAAACATATGTCATATGTTTAACCTGAAAATTGGGATTCCCAAATTGTCAGATGAAGGCGGTAGGTGTTGCGTCAGTCACGCACAGAGCGAATACAATATTTACATGTTGTAAATTTGTTGTCTAATGTCGTTATGGAATGGAAATTTTACATTTCGTGTGTGTGGAGCCGGCGTTAGTATTCCTGTAAAAGAAACGCTGAAATGAGTTGATAAGAAACGCTGAGTTGATCAGATATTACCGTGCTGTAGTTTTATAAGTGAATAGACTTAAATAAATTAGAACCGCTCTCATTTTTTTTAAAGCACGTTAAAATATAATACGAATTTATGTATTTTGTATTTATTATACCAATTTATATATTTACAGAGATTATCTGTGCTAAAAACGAATTTATTAATTATTTCAATAATGACTTTTTGAGATTCAAATTTTAACCTCACTTTTTGTGCAATTGTAAATGCAGATTTACTCTTGTAAATATATAAATTGAATTTATGTATTATTGTAATATAATTATTGTTTAACAGAAGCGTTTTATAAAACTAGTTAATCCGTTATAACAATATATTGAATTTAATTTATGGTAATCATTACATAAAAGTTTCTTTCTATATAAATTAGACCTTAGAGCTGTCATCCATAGATCACCCTGATGCTTTTTATCATTTTGACTCGGAAATCGATAAAAAGTGCAATCACTTTTACTATTACTGTAGCAGTTTGCGATGGAACAAATATTACTTACCCTCGTTTTGAACAATAATTATAATGTGTAATTATAAGTTATAAAAATCTTACGGTGATAACAAATTTGGCCGATATGAGTCATAGCACCTAGCTAGCATTGAAACTTTCGTGTTGACGAGTAAAACAATGATTGGCGCATCACCTAGTGACCGGGCGCCTAACTATAAATACATGGCGCGAAATTCAAAACTTTAGTAATATTACCTAGGATTGTGAACTCATTTTAAAGTAAAGGAAAATCGATATAATCCTAAAATAACAAGAGAAATCCTCATCCTATACGATAATAAATATTTTTCGTATACTTTTTGGGTTTTCTTGTTATGTTGAGACTATATTTATTTTACATTATATTAAAATGCCAAAGTGATTAAAAAAATTAAAGAATAAAATATAGAATAAAATCTTTATTTATAAAAATGTTACAAGAAATGTTATATGTGTTACAAGAAATATTAATAATACAAGCCAAGTGTACTATAATTTAGTTTTCTTAATGTTGTGGCAAGAACTGGTCAGTATTTAAATAATTGTTTTGTCTTAGTATGTCAAGTTTTATGTAAATAGAAGCCTAATTGTGCAAAAGGCCGTTTACTACAATTTTATTCTCATAATTCGCAAAGAATTCTAACATTGGTATATAAAATTCAAGATTTTTTTAGAAAGCAATGAATCTAAAGATAAATCCCTAGAAGACAAAGATAAGTACATGCTTGTAATAAATTTAGTCTATAATTACATAAGCGAAGCAATCAATGGGGAAAACCAATTGCTTTTTTCACACATACTCTCACAGATTCAGAATGAAAACATGCAAATGCGTTGAAGTATTAAAAAAATTATCTGATAGGAAAGCAATTCAAACCAATCACAGATTAAATCACTATTTTGTTTATATAGAATGCTGGCATATATAAAATCTGACAAGGAGAACCAGCTTTCCTTCACAAGAATTTATTAATTATCTACACTCTAAAGGAAGTAGAACAACACCATATAACCATGAAGGAAATGGTTAAGTTGAAAGATACAATGAGTTATATAGAAATTGGTGAATCTATCATTGAAAACCAAATATTTAGACATCACTAAATGAAAAACTGCTTTACCAGGAGCTCTGTACTATATAAGAAGTTTACTATTGAATTGTTATATTATTGAATCACGATAATGATGAAGATTAAGTCCAAATAACACATTAGAGAATTCACAAGGAATCTACGTTCCTGTGTTGGCTGTATACCATGTATTAAAAATTTAATTAAAAATCCTTTGTAATAGGTATATTATTTATTATTTATATTGTTAATTATTAAACTTAGCTCGTTTGGGCCTAAAATATACCTATTACAAAGGATTTTTAATTAAATTATTAGAGAATTCCACTACTAAATCAAAGATTGGAAAATTCAGATTTTCAATCTAGCTGTGAATCAGCTGGAGCTAAAAATAAACCAAGATAGTTGCAATATTTTGTTCACAAATAGGGACGGGTAAATGTAGTATAATTTAGTGTTCTAAATGTTGTGACAAGAACTTGTCAGTAATTAAATAATTTTTTTGGAATTCTAATGTCAAATTAAAGCCTAATAAGCAACAGACAGCCTTCAGACATTCTGAGTTCTTTGTAGTACTTACATCCTAATCTAATAACACACACTACCAGCGGTCAGTGAGAACTCTTACTGTCTGGCGTTCTACTCACAGAAAGACAGAACTCAGGAACTCTGCTAAGTTGGAAACAGAAAAATTAAATGATTTAGTTCTAGAATGAACTTTATATACATTTATATGATAATATTTTAGTCATATTTAAACTTATAAACCCAACAGTTAGCTCTAAGATTCTAAGATCCAGCACTATAAAGATGGAAAAATAACATTAAAAATAAAAAAAATATGTAAAGTATTACCTAGTTACAATAAAAACATGAAGTATTTTACAAAGTTACGTTTCCAAACTATGTTACCAGTAACTCTTTTCTACTAATATTTATATATTTATTGAGAGACATATTAAATACATTTAGATTTAGGTTGTTCTACAAAATGGAACATTAAAAGTAAATAGATGAGACAAACCATGGTAATATTGTACTCTAAGACCAATCTCACTCACAAGAGAGAGACAGATCCCTCCTCGCACTTAACAGGCAAGCTCATAGACCTCTCCATATGATACTGTAGTCATGGTCTGCTAATCTAATCCAACTTTGAAACGCGCACACCTGTAGAAATTATGTCGAACCCTATCTAAGGAGATGATTTTTAAGATAGTTGTTGAACCACCACCTACAAAATAATTCAAATAGTAAGCAATTAAGACTGATTTTATAATATATAATTTTAGGTTAAATTTATAATTAACTAATTTTATAAGTAAAAGGTCACATACATACATATATTATTGGCATAATCGTTCTTACCTGGTGCTGGTAAAAACAAACTCAGAAGGGCTGTTCTCGTAATACCGGTATGTCCAACATTAATTATATCGTCCTCTTTAAAATGACTAGCGCTTACACGAAAATTGTTATAAATAGTTTTTGTTGCAGCATTCTCTAATTAGGGCTTTTAACAGCATTCACCCATTTATCAAACATATCCATATAATCTCCTGGACTTGAAAAACGGTATTGCTTGCCAGTAGTAGTGTGCTTGCCTAGTATCCATGCAATCTGGAATACATCTTTTTTGTTCAGTTATTCGTCACTACATTGTTATTCCATGTAATGTGTTCGATTCCATAATAAAAAATCGTCTAAAATTTTACCTTTTTGCACTACTTATATAAAAAAATTTAAACTATAAAATAAATTATAAAAAATAAAACAAATACAAATATGGCGCCGTATTTGTCTAAATTCAACTTTTGATTTGACCACAGCACACTCCCTCCGCGTAGAAACGAGACTAGCAGCGCCACCAAAGGAATGGGCGTATGGGCGCTAAATCCGAACGTGATTTGACATTGCCTATCCCTGTTACCAATCTAGGTGTAATTTTATCTATGGTATGAGTTCTTTAAATGTGACGTACATCCCCTCCCGTCAGCTGCACAGAACGAATAGAATGTTATCTGTTGGTTTAATTCTAGTTATTCTACAAACTGTTTTTTTAGCCAATCAGTGATGGTAAAGACTGGTACTGTTTTGAATGTCATTTAGCGGATGAAGTCATAGAATGCACCAAATGCTGTCGTGTATTTCACAGGAATTGTATTAGGGCGGCCAGAAGAAGATTTGACACCCACAGAGGAATATTGAACTTTGCCAATCATGTAAGTTAACATTTTTTCCTTTGGCTTATAAAAATGTATATAAAATTAATGACTCCTTATAGAAAGAAAGAAAATTGGTTCATACCGAAAGCAATTTTAAGTAAAGCATTGAAATTTGTAAAGCATAATAATTACTAATAACATTAAAATACATTTACTGCTAAAAATATATGCAGATTCATGGGTTAATTTCTTTATCTAATTAAAGATACTTTGTTGTCGGCGAAGATAGAGGTAAAACAAAACGGAAGGTATCTTTTATGTTTATAGTAATTTGATAATTCCACTTAAAAATCTGGCACGCCAGAGAAGTCTTTTAAGGTACGATTCCGACAACGACTGCAAACAGCAGTTGCAGTTGCCGCCGCGGCAGACGTCATTACTTTGCAGAATCATAAAAAATGTCAAAAGTCGCGCCACTGTTTTTATTTAACACATTTATAAAAACTGAGTTCTATGGCTTACAGATTCTTGGTAAATCGATATTTTTCCGTTTTCCCCCTCCACGAAGGTGTTTTAGCGGAAAGCCCGGGGGTAAAAGATTCAGTGGCATTTTCGACTCTGACGACTTAAGTAGTTGGGGACTATTTCCGGTATATAGCACTTGCTCAAAAATATTTTCATTAAAAAGTTCACTATCGAAAATCTACGTAGCTGAATTTTCAGATCTCAAATCCATCTAGATTGGCAGGTATATCTAATAGGCCACTCACCGTGAGATACCTGATATAAATGTACTGTTAAATTTTAAAGCAATTTGCTTAAAATAATGTAGGGGAGAGGTGGGATAGTTGATCCCGGTGGGATACTTGATCCCCATTTAAATTTGATGTCCAATGATATCCTATTACTGTTCTGTTGACCCACTTAGGTAGAGGCCATACTATTTACTTTCTTTTGACAAATGGCTGCTACTTCAGAACACACTTGACATTTTAATCAAGATTCTATTTTGTGACATTGAAAGTTTATTTTACGCGTGTGAGGTAAGTTATAACAACTTTAATTCGTTTAGTTTATAATTATACTGCCCAAATAGGTGAAACATTTGTACTTTTATCGACTAAATACTAAAACATTGATATTTAAATTGTAACTGTTTTACCTAAAACTTGCACTTGTTAGAAAAATGTCATCGAAGGGATAGTTGATCCCATGATACTATGTATCATGGTTGATCCTATTAAATGGGGGATACTTGATCCCAGGATCAAGTATCCCACTTTGTGTTTCTTTTAATCTCGTGTTTAATGGAATTAATTTTATTCATGTTTATTTTTTCAGATACTACGTAAGTACTCAAACTAAAATAGAAGCAACGAAAAGAGTTCCACCTCATGCAGAAAATTGGGATGTTTTCGAAAGATATGTCCAAGATGTATGACGGTCTTACTGTGGTGCAATTGCGCAAATTGACATAATCCTATGCTGCAACAAATAGGATATCATATCCCCCTGCCTGGGATAAAACAAAGCAAGCTGGCCGCGACTGGTACCGAGGTTTTCTTGATAGAAACCCTACGCTATCATTAAGGACACCAGAAGCCACAAGTTTGGCACGAAGCTCAGCTCTTAATCGTCACACAGCTAGTACATTTTTTAATTAATTAACAAGTGTTTATACACGGTTCATCCTCCTGAACGTATATGGAATATTGACGAAACTGGCCTCACATACAGTACACAAACCTACTAAAATAATTGCTTTGAAAGGGTCAAAGTAGGTGGGCAAAATTACATCTGCAGAACGAGACGAACTGGTTACGGTGTGTGCTGGCATCAATTCTGCAGGGGGTCACATGCCTCCTTACATGATATTTCCCAAAAAAAACTGGCAGGACAAGTTTCTAAGCCATGCACCTCCTGGCAGCAATGCAATGCAACCAGACTTGCTCTGGTTTTCTGAAGTTTTTGGAACACTTTGGTCGTTTTGCTCAGCCAAGCCTAGATCGGAAACATTTAATTGTTATGGACAACCATGAGAGCCACTGCTCATTGGAGGCTGTAAATTTTGCGAGACACAACGGCATCGTATTTCTTACAATTCCGCTGCACACTACCTTTTTGGTCCACTAAAGACTTACTACTTCCAAGCAGCTTCCAATTTTATGCTCAAATTTCCCGTCATCCGGTCACGTCCCGTCGTCAGTAAACATATTTACTGACGACGAATTTATGACCAGCGCTGTCACGTACCGTCCAGACCCAACTTTGATTCAGAAATCAATTCTGGGTGAATCCAGTACAGCCAACGCCTAGTGCTAGTACATCAATTTCTACAGAACCAACGTTGTCTGGGGCCCTAAAACCTTGCACTCCAACATCGGATATAATGTCTGTAAAACATTTTTCACCACAAGACATCATGCCCTATCCCAAGGCAGCACTTCGTGCCCAATCTTCTCGAGGTAGAAAACGGGGGGCGCTCTCGCATCCTAACTGGTACCTCTGAAAAAGCGGAAATTGATAAACTTGCTCTTAAGAAAGCCGCAATAAATAGGAAAAGAGCAGAACGGCTTCCGACACGAAACACTGAACTTTTCGATTCGACTGATAAGAGGAGGATGATCTTCCCAGCCTTCCAGATAGCAGAATGGCTCTGATTTCCTTTTAGATGATGAACTTATTGATGGCACGGATCCTGAGCCAGGCGACTAGGTTTTAGTCAAGTTTTGTACTAAAAAAACAATGAAGTTTTATGTTAAGAAAAGTTTTGTGTCTGAAAGAAAATACATTGGAAGTTAAACTCTTAAGGCGGAAGGGACTCGGAGGAAGCTGTTTCACTTTTCCAACACTAGAGGCCAGGACTGCTGACATTATAAAATTTAACCATATATTTGATGCTGTTTTCTAATTAATTGTTCTTTTTTGGCTCAATTTATTTTTGAATTTTATGTTTTTATTTAATAAAGTAGGTATAACAAATACTTACAATGTCGGGATAGTATTATGAGGTTTTTTTCCTGGTTTTTCCCTCATAATTTACTATGGAATCACTAACAGGAGAATTTTACTGTCATCATGTCATGTGTTTGTCTTTTTAAAGACGAATTACATGCTATGATTTTTTCTGACGGATATTCTCAAGTTAAAGTTGATTTCATGTAATCGAATGAACTATCTTATAAGTAAAGTCGTCCCAGGAGCGCAACTCAACAATATTGGCAATATCATTTTAAAGTCGTCTACTTTAAAATGCATAATGTATGTCTGAATTGTCAATATAAATGAGTCAGATAAAATTAAATTATCAGAAGAATTTTTTCACTATGTAACAAAAAACAAAATTTGTTTAATTTACTATTTGTATTTTGAGAACGATTTCCGAATTGGAAATTGAAACGTCAATAAATGTATTTTTATCTTTAATGTGGCTTATTCCCAGTTATAAATAGTAATTAATTTACAATGCCACAAGAAAATAGCTTCAGAACAATATAAAGTAGGTAGTTTAATTTGTTTCATTGTTTAATTTAATTACCTTTCATAATTGGCAATAATTACTTATGCTATTGCATCATAGGTGGGATACTTTATCCCAGGGATCAAGTATCCCTCATGGACAGGGGTTCTTGAACCGCACTAGAGATTTACACGAACTGATCTACCTTATTTGTTCTACAAGAAAGAGATTCTAGGTGAGCATTCAGTAGAAGGAGATAACTACATTATGAACCTGATTAATAAAATTAAGAAAATAATTATTATGAACCTATTTAATAAAATTAAGAAAATAACTATTATGGTCTGAAATAATCTTTAAACGCTAAAACAGGGTTCAACCATCCCACCTCTTCTCTACAGTTAAATTTTAAAGCAATTCGCCTAAAATAATTTCTGAATTGAATAGATTAATAATTACGTAAATAAGAAGTGTAACTGGTGATGGGTTTACCTAACTGATGTGATCAGTATACGAGTCTCCAAGGGATGCCGATGATTAGTTTGCTATATCTCGGAGAGTCTAATAATTTTATGGCTGGCTATAAAATGATGAGTTTGTACATGTCCCAGTTTCGGGCTGGTTCGGACAAGTGCGCGCTTACAGCTAAATATCTCTTTATATATCTTTTTATTAAAATACTGCCATATAAATTTCCTACCTATTCTCATTTCTGATTTCTCTCAAACTTTAGCTCAGCTGAAATATTATTCGAGAAAGATATTTGAATATGATAATATAAAAGGGAAATTTATCAAAAAAACCGTAAAACTAAATAATAACTATTGATAATTTCACGAAAGCGTTTTAGAATTATCTCTTTGTTCCCATTATACTTTTAAGAACCTAACTTTCCAATGAAAACGGAATCGATAACTGTTTATTCTTTTGATAGTATTAAGTCATGAATAATTATACAAAAATGCTTTTTGTCTCTTCAATGAGTCAATTGGAATGTTAGTACGTTAATGGATACGTACAATAAATAATGCCTTTTTAAAGATTTTTGTGAAATAATGAAGTTGAAAATAATTAATTAACTGTTCTAAATATTTATGATTAATATGATCATGAACTGCATGAAGTAGTTTATGAAAGTTTATTTCGATTGCTAAAATTTTAATAGTAATCGAAAAAAGCAAGTTATTTTATTTTTTTAACCCTTAAACAATTATTGATTGGATCAAATCTGAGTTATATAACAAAAAATTGCAAAAGACACAATACCTACGAAATTATTTCATTATGTATATGTTACAGAATAGAAATATGCTTTATTGTCAATGAAAATTGTACAATTTTATGGACAAAGCTTACAAAAAGTCAAAAAAATAACAATAACAATTAAATTTACTAAAATCACATAAATCGTCAATATTACAAAATAAAACATAATAAAATATACAATCAATTATTACGGACTAGTTTACGAATAAGTTTAAGCTGTTGCATGTGATACTCAAATATATATTAAAATACTTTGTTGCTTGTACCTAAACGTACTGTAAGTTCTTAGTTATTCATTAAGAAACTCTGCCACTGAATAATATGGTCTTTAAGATAGATAGGCTTTTGTCAATGTACGGAACTTAAGGAAAGAAGTTGATTTAAGTTGCAAAGGGAAATGGCTGTTTATTTATTTTTTTTGTCGAATATAATATAGATTTTTTTACTTACTCGGTGGACGGGATCGGCAAATACACATCAAAGCTTGAATTTCTCATGGAGTAGTCATGATTAGGTCTTGCTGAAAAACATGTAGGTGTTTATAAATTAAACAAACAGTTTCTAGAGTATATAAAGAGGGAGAGTTCAAATCCCGTAATTTTTTAAGTAGCTCCTGCAATGTGTTATTCTGCTGAGGCCAAAAAGATACCGTATTGCTCTCTTTTGTAATTTAAAAATAATATCAGATTGGGCAGCTGTACTAGAACCCCAAAAAGTAAGGCCATATCGAAGATAAGACTCGAACAAATAAAAGTATATTATTTTGAAAGATGCTAAATTGATTTCCTTCGAAATAGATCTTGGTCCTGATTCTAATTGAAATTTCGACTCAAAACTTGTCGAAATTAATATGGCGACATCGAAATGCGACTTTGCGAGCCTAGTGAATTTCAGCTGAACTAACCAAAGGACGTGACTAATTTTCGATTTATCGAAATAAACTTCAAGAAAATGGTTGACATTTCATTTTCAGTCGAAATTAATGTGCCATAACTGGCTGGACTGGGAGAAGTGAGATTAGGTTCAGTTTAGGTCATGGCTGCGTTTTATGGACATTTGCTGGTTTTTGGGAAATTAGAGAGCATAGATATCCGACGCTCACAACGGAGGATAAGAAGAATTTAATCTTTGTAAATGGGTATATTTATTTAAAAAACCCTTAAAAGGGCCACATCAATAAAACAAACGTTTTCGGACCACACAGTCCATCATCAGGTTTTTAAAATCGAAAAATGCTAGGTCACAATGCCTGAGCCACCAAAATACTAGGGTAAAAACCCTTTAAATTACATTTAGTTATGAAATATTGTACATTTTGTTGTAAAATAACTGTCAATAACAAAATAACAGTTATTTTACAACAAAATGTACAATATTTCATAACTAAATGTAATTTAAAGGGTTTTTACCCTAGTATTTTGGTGGCTCAGGCATTGTGACCTAGCATTTTTCGATTTTAAAAACCTGATGATGGACTGTGTGGTCCGAAAACGTTTGTTTTATTGATGTGGCCCTTTTAAGGGTTTTTTAAATAAATATACCCATTTACAAGGATTAACCTCTTTTTGTTATACGTGGTATACAGCCAGCTACAGGAATTTTTCCTTGTGGATTTTGATAAGAAGAATGTTACGGGATACTCAAAATTCTTTTTCACTAAGTGATGCCCAATTTAGGCAGCAATTCCGCCTTAATAAACAAATTATTTGATAAGGATATTAGAACCATATTTGGAGGAGGGTGTTTATGCCTCTAGAGGACCCAAAATGTTTAGGTAAATTTAAAAATTTATTAGAATATAACCACTAAGTCAAAAGCCACTATAATTTCTTTTTTTTTTTGTCCCCAGACAATTTAGTGCCACCATTACCGACAGCCTCTCCATCCATTTTCTTTCAATTCAAAATATAATAATTGAGAATGGCCACTAAAAATGTAACAACTCAAACAAGAAACAAAAGGCGTAAGGTAAACAAAAGAAACATTTAACAAGCGTTGTGCAGCGTGCAGCTAATAAACAAGACGGTCAACCCAAAATTCTGAGCAGTGTCAAAATGATAAAGTAAATATCCCCACTTTTAACTAAAATCGAAATGAAAGAGAATCGCTAGCGATCGCGACTGTCATGGAGTAGTCGCTTTTAAATTTCGACATCAAAATGAAATAGAATCAGGGCCCTTATTGCATAGCAGGCTGAGACTAGTTTCTTACTTAACAAATAGATATAAAGGGACCATTAAGGTTGCTGTCTATAAAAATACCAAGAAATTTTACAGAATTAACGATACTGATCTGGCTGTTATTAAGAAACAAGGGTTGAAGAGCTCTTTTATAGAATAATGCTACTGTCTTATCCACGTTAAAAGAGAGTAAATTAAAGTCGGACCAGGTTTTTATTTTAAGTAGATCAGAATTAGAATTGCATGAAAAGTTGCAATATTAGAGTTTCTCCAGGTAATACTGGTATCATTAGGAAAAAGAAAAATTTTTCCACCGATTTTTAAGTTATTAACGAGTCTACAAATTGTATTGAATTTATTTAGTTTTATGTACTATATAAAATTTTTATATGGGGTTGAAACCACTAATACATATGCGCTTTTATACATAAATTTAAATGTACAGGGTAACTCACGCAAGCCTAGCATAGTTCTTAAGCTTTATTTTAATGGAACACGATATAGTTCGTTGGGATCAGGTTGTCAAGCTTAAAAATAAAGATTGTGGACTATGCTATGCTTGCGTTAATCACCCTATATATTTAAATTTATGTTTAAAAAACGCAAATTTATATATTAAAGTCAACGGGTATCGTCGTTTTTTATAATTTTTTAAAACAAGAACAGAAATAATTTTACTCAAATGGATTTAACAGTTTATATTAATATAAGCCCATTTAAGTGTCTTAAAATCTTAGCTTATTATTTAATTGCATTTTGGAAAACTTTTATTTTTTGTCAAAAAATTATCTTTTAAATTTTAGAAAGTGCTTCAAAGGGTAGAAAAATCAAAAGAGGTACAACCAGGGACGTCTTCAGACCCCGACACAATTGTCCTTGACGATGAACCTGAGAAAAGTGGTAAAGCGGAGAGTTCGTCGAATTCAACAACTTTCGATGAAAGCAAGTGTTCAATATGTAATACAGAAAAAATAGACATATCTGCTGTCATGGACAAGGCCGAACTTAATTATGTACTGAAATTTGTTTTAAATAGGATTAGAAATTGGGTAAGTGTTTATGATTTTAGTCAACATTAAAACTGGCATTAAACAGATAAATGTTTTCAATATGATTTATACCAACTGTTGTTTTTTTTTATTAGTGTTAAACTTTTCAGTTACGCTACAAGAAATAATACAAAAAAAATCTGAACTGGTCAGTCTTTTTCTTTAATTTTTTTGAAGATTTTTACAACATAGAATTTGGCTAAAGCCCTTTTGGTTTTTGATTTATTGAATGTCCTACAAGGACAAAGCTACGTTAGGTAGTCACAATAAAACCTGAAATATATTAGATACGGATAGTCCATTTCCTAGAGCGAACTTACGAACTATATATACTAAGCAAAACATCAAGCTTATCAACTCCTGTTATGTTTTGGTTATACAACCTAATAGCCCCAGGTTGAAATACATCAATATATTATTTATTCCATATTTGGCAATTACCTAGCAAAAAAGTTAGATGCAACAATCACCGGTTTATTATCAAACCTTTTCGTAATTATCACTCCGTCTTTACTTACAACTATATCACAAGTACCTCTTCATTTTTCAACAGCAAAAATATTTTTTGAATTGAAGAAAAGGAAGAGATTATGTACTAAAATAATTATCGAATTACAGTCCATGTTTTTTTCTGCGATTCTCTCAGCTAGCTGCGTTACGTTTTGCAGCTCCTGCATTAAATTTACTATATTCCTCACTTATCGTGCTAGTTGTACCTTGATAAATTATAAAGTTCTACACTAAACCGCTTTGTCCAGCAAAGTCAAATATTTTTATTTGTGTCAAGATGTGTGTCATAAAGTACGTTTGTCCTTCCTGAAGGTCGTCGTTGTTTTCAAAAATATACAAAATTTACATGAACAGTTAGTGTATATTTAAATAAAAAAGCATAAATTATTAAGCTTTTTCTTACAAACAAACTAATTGTATATATATTTCAACTTTTAATTCTATTTGTAAAATAATTACAAATTTGCACCTGTTTGAAGATGAGACAGTTCGCGCAAAATTGAAGTAATCAACTTTCTCATTGGTACTAATAGGTAACCACCATTCATAAATAAGTAAATACACTGTCCTTCTTCAGAACACATGTTACTTTGCATGGTTAAATGCCACTATTTGTCAATACGATGCCGATATGGCAATATGATACATTTCTGTCCTCGTAAGAGTACGATGTGACTGGAAGTGTTAAGAAGTTGCATGATAATCAGAATTTTTAAGTATGTAGAATATTCCAGTCATTTTTTGATTTAACATAATTTTACATAACGTCTAAGTTGTTACCAATTAGATCTGGTCTGGAGAAGGAGTAACTCTGATCTTTGACACAGTAGACGTAGAAACTAAAAAATTGTTTAATATAGTACAGATTTGCAAAGTAGTCAAATTACTGAATTAAATTCACTCTGCATTAGCTGTTGAATTTTGGAATCAGTGAAAAAGATCGCTAATTGGGTTGGCTATATTAAAATTTAATAGTTTAATTACACTTTATCCCATTATGTTCACTCAGAGTATATAAAATTATTCCTCAGAGACATAGAAATAGGGTCACTTTCAACGGAAATCATGAGAGAACTTTATAGAAAAACAAGAAAGTTTAACATACAAGTTAAAAGAAACAAGTATGGAACTAACAATTAAAAATGGCTAGATGGAAATGAAAAATTGTATCAGAGAAATCGCAGTTAAAACAATAAGAAAAATAAAAATCAATGTTAAAGCCATTAACGGCATAAGACCCCTCATGATTGGATTAGATGAAACCTCAATTTGGCAATTGGTGAAATGTTATTTTTGATGAATGTGCCATAGATCTTAGTGCCGCCAAATTCATTGTTTACGTCGATATAAGCAAAAATTCAGATTGTCAAAATGAAGATTATATACCTGAACATCTCCTGCTGATAAGGATAATAATAGAGTAGTTAGAAATCAAATAGACGTCATTGTAAATAAGTTGATGAAAGTTCATTCTAACAGTAAACACTGACAACTTTTGTTTTTAACACTTCCATAAAATGTATTATAATTTATTATCACTACACCTGTTTCGGTAGAGTGTCTTTCTCAAGTGAGCTATTTTCGTTGTACATCTACACTTTATAGTGTTGTTGAGGAGGGCAGAGCTGTTTGTCTCATTTTGGTCATTCAGAATTATATCTATAAAAACTATAAATCCGAAGATTTCTAATTGACAAAACCAAAATCCAGATTTTTGCTTTAATTTTTGCCTTCTAAGAATTGTAAATCAAAACAGACGTTGATAAAGAAGTAAATAGAGAAATAGGGAATCCAGAATTGTATTCCACAACAAATGAAGGGTACAGGGGAAAACAGTAAAAGTCAGATTTTTTCAAAATTGAGTTTTTCACGCCATTCTGTACTAAACCATCAGAATTTACTATTCTAGATGTAAAAAATGCAAAATATAGCTAAGTCCATAATTATTAACGTTTGAAAATAAACTGTACAGCAAATAATAGTCAGAGTCCACAGACAGAAAGGAAACAACAATCAAAGTCCAATTGGCATGTATGTTTTGAACGCAATAAACAGCGCAGCTTATCTGTTTTTGTCTAATTTCTAATGTTTGGCTAATTCAATAGGTAATGTTTGTTTCACGAAAAATGGTTGAGTTCTTAATGGTTAACTGAGTTGATCCTATTGTGTATACAAGAGCCTCTCAATAAAATACCGAAGTACACAGGGTCGCACTTCAGAAAGTTTGTTATTTAATATATTTCATTGGTAGCTGTGTAATACACGATTATAAAAATTTATTATTTCATATGGGATTTTCAGGTTGTTCAAGTGAATATACTTGATAATTGAACAATTTTTAACATGAAGAAAGTAGTTTTTTTGTTCGACGTGAATAATTATAGTATATGGATCTAAATTCAGAAATGTTAAGGAATCAAGCAGTAATGGCAATTTTTTGTTTTAAAAGTAAAAGAGTATAAAATATAAAACTGTGCATTAAACTTCCAATGAAGTTTTATTTTCTGAAATTTATAGGTTGGTCACTTTTTTTTGCCCGTCAGTGTACCTACTTAATATTCTGTGTTTATATTACTTGTGTACCAGTAAAATCTACTGTAATGTTGTCATATTTACTATAATTTTACGACCTTGGCCAGTTGCTAACACTGATTTATTATCTTTAATGGTAATTAACCACAATCTCAGTTGAACATACGTTTATTTTGACTTAGAATAGAAATATGCTTTATTGTCAATGAAAATTATTGAACAATGTTATAGACAAAGCTAAGACTTGTCGCAATTCATGCATAATATCGCGTTAGTAATGACAGCAATCTCGCAAACGATATGTCAATATGGTATTTACTAATCTTCGTTTGATATTAAAATAGTGCCGGAGGAGATATTTTTCTAAATACTGGACTACCTAAGTTCTTACGTCACAATGGGCGGGGCTTGGAAAGAAAACCTTTCGAAACATTTCTAATTTGTGTGTATTTCTTCCATAAGAAGTTGGAAATATTGTTTTTTTTTTTTAATTATTTGAATAGTAAATAAGGACTTTTGGTTATAAACATTCATTATGTACGATTGGTATTATCTATTATTCGTGAATTTGTGAGGTTATAATATCAAATTATTAAAATATTTACTCTCAATGTTCATGTTTTAAGGTTATGTTATTGTTTGATTAAAAGATTAATTATTTTGAAGTATTTTAAGCTATTTTGTTGTGGTTTTTATCAGGTTTATTTCAAAATTAATCAATAAATCATTGAATTTATTTATGAAGTTGAAAAATTATTAAATTAATGTTTTATTCTTTTTCAGATGTTAGTGATTTTATTCCGTAAAATACTAAATAAATTCGTTTTCTCGTAGTTTTAGTTCTTAAAAGTAGTTTTGCTGTCATTACTGAAAAATTCATGAATACTGTATATCATCAACACATGTTTACTAGCCATTATATGCCCAAATCTAGAAAATAATATTACTTAAAATAAAAATAATAAAAATAATTTATACTTAAAATAATAACACTTAAAAGACAGTTTTTTAAACACTCATTATGACAATTTGATAGAAACTAAAACTAAAAATCCTTATTCACTATTTAAACTATGAGAAAACGAATATATTTAGTCTTTTGTGGGATAAAATCACTGTCAACGAAAAAAGAATAAAACATTAATTTAAATATTTTTCAACTTCGTAAATAAATCAAATTATTTATTTTTAAATACCTATACCTGATAAAAACAACAACAAAATACCTTGAAGTATAGTAAAAAATAATTAAAGTTTTAATCAAACAATCAAAACAAATATTAAGAGTAAATTTTGATATTCTTACCTTACAAATTCACGAACAACCCCCGCTCATTGTGACGACAGACTTAGGTAGTCCATTGTGCACTCTAATATATTTGAATAAAAAGTAAACAACCTATTTGATTATTTACGTTGTTTATATGATTCATTACCAAACTCCCGACCCTGTGTCTTATATTAAGTTCCATCGTGAAAATATTGTATTAGTAAATAAAAAAATTTCTTACTACTTGATAATTTCTATTTTAGCTACCAAAAAATATAACGCGAACAATGGCACCAGAAGATCAGCCTGAGTGGATGTCAGAATCTGAATTGGCATGGAGAGCGAGCCAGTTATTTTGTGAATATACTGATATGTCTGTGATTGAGGTCAAGCTGAACACGGAGACTTACACGAAGTTTGCTGAATTTTTAGGAGACATTTTAACGGTTCAACATAATATTACAATTTTCCACGGAAGTAAGTCTTTCAATATATCTGTATGTATATAGCAATTACTTCTTTAGCTAGGCAACGCTTATGACGAAAACAGACTTAAATCGACTACCGGTATTTGAGTCAAAAGTAGAATATGCAATTTATAGTTTAAACAATCATAAGGTAGTTTGATCAGACGGTATAAAAGCGGAAACCCATAAGCTCTTATATATATATATATATATATATATATATATATATATATATATATAGCGAGAGTTTGCAACTTTAATTTTGTCGCTTCTCGCATCCCAATCGCCATAATTTCTTATCGGCCCAGTCTCCTTCTTGAAGACCTCTATTTTCCATTTCTATATGAATATTGGATATCCATTTCTTTCTTGGCCTTCCCCTTTTATTTCTCTGTGTAGGTCTCCAGTTCCAAACCTTTCGTGGTATCCTTTCTTCGTTCATCCGTCTCAGGTGTCCATACCATTTTAATTGTTTTTCGGCTATCGTATCCATTATTGTGTTCTTTACTTTCATTCTCTCTCTTATGTTTTCATTTCTTATGTGGTCAAACAAAGTTAACCCGGAACATCTTCTCCAGTACATCATTTCCGTTGAGAGGAGTTTTTGTGACATATTCTTGTTAAAGACCCACACTTCTGACCCATACGTCAGCACCGGCTGAATCATAGCCTGATATATATTTTTCTTTGTTTTCTTAGTTAAAGTTTTTTTCCACAGGATCGGATGTAGTGTTTTTATCATGTTTTTTCCTTTTGCTATTTTTCTTGTTATATCTTTGTCGTCTCTCCCGTCTTCGCTTAGTGTAACTCCGAGATATTCGTACTGATCAACGTTTTTAATTAATCCGCTTTCTGTTTCCATGTCTTGACCGATGCCTCCTATATTCATGTATTGTGTCTTTTCGGTATTAACCTCTAATCCCCATTTTTTGAATTCGTCTATTAGTTTGTTTATCATGTACGTCATATCTTGTAGGTCCTCGGCAAGAACTACCTGGTCGTCTGCGAAGAGAATTGTGTATATAGGAGTGTCATTTACCCATATGCCCATTGGGCTGCATTTTCTCATAAGCTCTTGAATACTAAATTCTTATGCAATTTTGTTAACAACATTGAAACACGGGGAAAAGCCAGCAGCTTTGCTGCAATCAACTTTTGTTGCAATAAGAAACGCAATGCCAGTCGTTGATAAAAAAGCGCTTAATCAGCTTAATGAGCCACTCATTAAAAGCGTTTCTTAATTGAATATATAAAAAATGCAAAGAACGAATAGGAGACACTCAATTTGCTTCACTGATACCAAAAGCCATTTGACAGTCAAGACATGAGCTATTGATACAGAGGAACGATACACGGAATCAAAAGCAAAAAATAAAGATCGCGAACGTTGAATTCTCTCCCACTTTTGTTTAACATTAAGCAATCACATAATATAATCACATTAAGACATATAAAAATTTATGGTTAAATAAAATAAAAATTTAAAAAATTTAGATTGTAAAACCTAAATCAAATTAAAAATACTCTATTTACATTATTATCAGACAGATTTAAACCATACTGCTCTGACTTGCTTTAACGTGTGGGTCGCTAACAGTTTGTCCGTAACAGCGGAGCGACCCACCGGTGGGTCGACAGGTCTTTAGCTCCTATAGACGATGCGGTCCACCGGTGGGTCGCGAGAATCTTATAATAAAAAAAATAATTATGACGAAAATTTCAAATATATATATATATATATATATATATATATATATATAATATATATATATATATATATATATATATATATATATATATATATATATCTATTTTAAAAATTGAAAGTTGTAATATTATATATCAATATTGATACTGCTGGCACAGTTTTCAATATAGAATAAATTATTTCACGCAAATACAACAAACCAGTTTGAATGAAATTTTATTATATATTGCATATTTTATTACATATACAATATTTTATATTAGATACCATAAAAAATTAAAAATACTTAAGAATTATTATTAATTATGGATAATATTAAAACAATCTAGACATAAATAAGGTTTGTTTTCACAAGTATCACTAAAGGTTGGTACTTTTTTTGTTTTTTGATCTGCTTGGAGTTTTCCATGACTTTGAAGAATTCGCTTGTAACACTGTCGGCATCTTCTTCTACTGGTTCTGATAGATCCAGGAGCTCTAGTCAGTTTGTGTTTTTTTCTGGAAGGTGTATTGGAAAACCGAGTACTTTGAACATCATTGACCAATGCGTCGATGATACTTTCCCTAAATTTGAGGAGCGACATTTTTGTTCTATTATGGTGAAAATCTTTCTGTATTACCCACGAATTTACCATCATTGTATCAAAAAACAATCCCATAACTAATTTTCGATACCACTTAACTGTCTTTCTCAATGTGCTGTAATAGGAACTTAGCTGGTCTGACATGCCTACACCCTTTTTTGGCAGCATTATAGGATATTATGCAATCTTTTTTTTATTGGATCTCCAGCACGAGTATTTTTGCCTGTTTCAATCATTTTACCGTTATGACCCTTTACAGTTGTCATTATCAAAACTTGTCTTTTATCGGTCCATTTTATAATCTTTGCTCCAGATTTATTATTAACGCCCGAAACTTCGCCGCGTTTTTGTTTCTGGTTAAAAAAAATCTTTGGGCAATTTCTTTCTGTTTGATCGAAGCGTACCACAAAAAAATGTCCCTAAGTTCCCGCAGATTTTCTACTAAAGGTAAACTACTATAAAAATTATCTGCATAGAGAACACGTCCTTGGTCTAGAAGTCCGTCAAGTAGATCGATAGTAATTTGATGAGCATGACCAATTTCATTATTTGTTGTTACTGTTTGTTTTCCTGCATAAACCTTGGTGTTATACGTGTATCCATTTCGAATGCCATCTACCCATTTTAGTAGAGATCTTCCAACAATGCTCTGTGTTTCATGTGCTCTCCATTTGATCATCCTGACATAGACTCCAGAATTCATAAGATTTTGGATTTATGGGTGGCCAGACATTTGTCAATCAGAGCAATTATTTTATTCAACCGCCTTTAACATGAGCAACAGACCCTCCAATCCAATTTGGTTTCAGATGCTACGATAGATTATATAGCAAAATCTAACATCTAAGCAAATGAATATAGCTTGAAAATGAAGAACAATCCATTCGTTTTTGTACAGGTTTAATATGCTTCTTCCATATATTTTTTCCATAATCGTATTAAACCCGTCAGCCAACTGTATTTCTTTATTTTACGTATTGCTTGATCAACTTACAATTAATATATCGACCAGATGGTTCTATTGGTTATCTGCGTCGATTCTTTTGATATATTTAATCAGTCATAAGTATATTTTTTCTAGTAAATTTTTATATACGTTTCGTGTATCTCTTTGTTTTCTTCTCGAATACATCAAATATGAATAGTGTTTTGCTTTATGTGCTGTATGTTTTGGTATTTCAGATACTTTTCTTTCATCCTCTGGTGTCAAGTTTATATCGCATAATTTTTTATATGTGCTTTTCCTTTCTAGAGCTAGTATTTCCATTTTTGACAGGTGGCAACATTTTAAAATTATTATCAGGTTGATTTTGTTGCTTACCTCTCTATAGTTTTTTTCTTTTTTTTTTGTATTTTAGACTACACTTAAATCACCAAATTTCTCTCTGAACTTATACCATTACACCATTTAATATTATGTTATCCTTTTCCATATTTTGATTTTGTTTTCGAATCTTACTTTAAGATACTTTACTTGTGTTACTCATCTTCTCATGGCGCCGTCTCCTTTTGAAGGTTGGAAAAAGTTGCAATTGTAGTTTTAGAAACTTCTGCGCGAAGGATTTCTGCGGATGAGCGGTCGAACCACCTCCTCAGGTCTTTCAGCGACGAGTTCTGGCGTCTTCCTACTGATCTTTTGCCCTGTACTTTTCCTTCCAGTATAACTCGAAGTAATTCATATCTTTCGCCTTTCAACACATGACCCAAGTATTTCATTTTCCTCTCTTTGATTATTCTTAGTAATTCTTTTTGTTTACACATGCGACGAAGTACCTCAACATTAGTAACTCTTTGTACCCATGGAATTCTCAACATTTGTCTGTATATATATACATCTAAAAGGCATATATTCTCTTTTTTCTATTTCAGCGTCCATTGTCCAACTTTCACAGCCATACAGTAAGACAGAAAAAACGTAACATCTGATCATTCGGATTCTAAGCTGCAGACTAAGGTCTGATCTTGAAAAATCGATTTTGATAGGATTCCTTTTTTTGGATTACACTGACTATTGATATTTACTCCCAAATATTTTATGGAATCTACCTGTTCTATTATTTGGCCCTTGGCATACACAAGTACGTTTATTGGTGTCGTTGAAAATACTAAAATTTTAATTTTGGAAACGTTTAGATGTAAACCGAACATTTCGCTGTGGTGAACTACCGCATTTATTATATTTTGTAGCTTGCTATTAAGACTGTATCATCAGCATATCTGATGTTGTCTATGCTGATTCCGTTAATCTTAATTCCGCCTTGGAGCTCGTCTAATGCTTCTCTGAATATAGACTCCGAATACAAATTAAACAGTAGCGGTTGTGCTACTAACTTAAGCAATTTGTATTGATGTCTAACAGTCTCGTAATTGTCTTGCATTCCTTACGTTTACGTATACTTATCTTGTCATCAAATTTTCTCTCTATGACTACTTTGTTTTTCTTTTTCCAGATCAGTCGCAAGAATATGGTGCTGCAGAACTTATGGTCAGAGACACGCTGCACGATCTGACTGAACTGACAAATTGCGTTGATTGTTATAAACATAGTAATGAAAAAATTAATGCAAAATGGTTTTGTTTGCCGTGTAGAGTACCTCATGAGCTAGTGTGGGCAAAGCAGAAAGGTTACCCTTACTGGCCTGCAAAAGTAAGTTTATAAAATATTTATAATGTTAGTAACTATACTGTGACCAACGCTAAGAACCAATGGTGAGAATGAATATTTTTTTGTGTATCAAGGTATATAAAATGCTTATTAAAAGTTTAAAACTTTGAAGATCTTTTCGGAATTAGATAATTCCATCATCAGTTTACTAAAAGAGAGTAAAAAAAGCCAATATTAAAAACACGGAAGGTAAAATTTAAATGTATAGAAAGGACACGTTGGTTTTTTACTACTTACATAAAAAGTTGTTGAAAAACATTGTTTGGCCACAGAAAAACACTAGAAGCACATCAGTAACAAAAACAATCCTCGTGGAATTTACAAAGGTAAATGCAATAGACTGTTAACTTCGATAATTAATAAAAACTAGAACTGGGGGCATCTAACATGACCCCCAGGAGCAGGTGAAATTTTGTCGACTTACATTACCTCTGATCTGTGCTGGAGTCTAGGGCTAACTGATAGAAAGATGGTATGAAAAATCAGTCAGTAGCCGTCAACGTCAAGTGGAATGATGTGGTAGGAGCAAAAGTCATTGTGCTTCAAGTCATTGTATAGTAGGATCAATAGCAATTTTTGGTATGGTAAAAAGGGGAAAATGTCAAACAATGAGTGACTGTAATGTAAATTAAATTTGGTATACCAGGGTAAGACAAAATTAAGTTAGGTAATTGAAAATTGAATCATTATCAAAATTGAAAAAAGGATGTTATTACCTAATTATTTCATTATATGAAGTAAGTAGAGATAAAAGTTAATTTGAAAATTATGGAAGATGAATCAAGGAAAAGGAGATATGATCGTGAAGATGTAAGCTGGGAATACTGAAAATGACTGTGATAAGGAAATGATTTTCGATTCTATTCGATTTTCGATTCTATTCGATTTTTGAACCTTTCGATTCTAACCATCCCATTTCACACAAATTAGATGCATTCAATAGTTTCATTCATCGTTTAGAAACCATCCCATTGTCCAACATTAACTACAACCAAGAACTCAACATAATCAAACAGATTGCTTTCAATAATGACTACAACCCTGATATCATCCATAAACTCATTCATAAAAAGAAACTTAAATTGCTTCAACAATCAGCTTACCCTAACATTACTTCAGATTCCCCATCTTTCTTCTCATTACCATTTCACTGTCCAGCACTCTCCGAATCAATCAAAAACACTATCCTGAATTCTGTTGAAAATGTTAGGATTTCCTTTAAAGTAAACAATAAATTGAGTAGATCAATATGCAATATTGGTAAGGACTAAGGACTTTATTGACTCCAGCAAACGCAGTGGACTTTATAAACCTCAGTGTTCTGACTGTGATGCCACTTATATTGGTAGAACTTGTAGATCTCTGGTCACCAGGGCCAATGAACATTCTAAGTTAGAGAATACTTTTTCTTTTTCCCATCATCTTAAATATCACAATCTCACAATCAAGATACCAGATGATATTTCTCTTCTTCATAACATCCCAGGTAGAGATTATCTCAAACTTCACCTTTTTGAGGATTTGGAGATCGTCAAGGAAAAGAAAAATAGTCCCAATTGTGTTAATCGTCACACCAGCCTCAATAGAGACTTCGTCCCGCTACATCTACAATTATTCTCCTGCTTCAACTTCCTTTCTTCCAACTATACATCCAATTTTACTTACTTCTACATTGCTTTCTCTCTTTTGTTTAGCTTAATTATTGCCCTATATATCCTGTCATACTCAACACTATTCTTGTCATCATTAATACACTAACATCCTTATTCTAATATCCAATTTCACATCCTCTCAAATAATTTCCATCCTAACTAATCACACAGGTTTTCTTATAAATACTCACTTTGCATTTATCATTTATTTATCACAGTAATTTTCAGTATCCCCAGCTTACATCTTCACGTTCATATCTCCTTTTCCTTGATTCATAACATACCAAAAATTGCTATTGATCCTACTATACATTACACATAATTCTTCACTAAAAACGGCCCATTCATAAACGGAAGCACAATGACTTTTGCTCCTACCACGTCATTCCACTTGACGTTGACGGGTACTGACTGATTTTCATACCATCTTTTTATCAGTTAGCCCTAGACTCCAGCACAGATCAGAGGTAATGTAAGTCGACAAAATTTCGTCAGCTCCTGGGAGTCATGTTAGATGCCCCCAGTTGTAGTTTTTATTAATTACCGAAATTAACGGTCTATTGCATTTACCTTTGTAAATTCCACGAGGGTTGTTTTTGTTACTGATGTCCTTCTAGTATTTTTCTGTGGCCAAACAATGTTTTTGAACAACTTTTTATGTAAGTAGTAAAAAACCAACGTGTTCTTTCTATACATTTAAATTTCAACTTACGTGTTTTAAGGTTGATCTGCACCCCCCAAAAGATAAATTCCAAATTCAAAGAATTGTATGAGATGACTAGAACTATTTTGACAACTTTTAAGAAAACTTCATGTTTTCGTTTTTAAAAAAAAAACTCAAAAAAACTACTTTTTCCAAGTATAAAGCGGGAAATCATCATCATCACTGGCTCAACAACCCTTTTTGGGTCTTGGCCTGTTCAAGGATTCTTCTCCATTCTGACCTGTTTCGTGCTTTTTTTCCAGTTTTTAATTTTTAATGTTGTTATATCATTTTCTATTTGTTCTACGTATCTCAGCTTCGGTCTTCCTCTTGTTCTTTTTCCTACTGGCACTTGTTTGAATATTTTGTTTGGTATTTCGCCTTCTTCCATTCTTTCCACATGTCCAATCCAACGTAGCCTTCCTATTTTAATGAATGTTATGATATCCGGATCCTGGTATATGTTGTATAGTTCAAAGTTATACCTTCGCCAAATCCCGTTTTCTTTTGTGCCCTTATATATGTGTTGCAAGATTTTTCTTTCAAAGGTGGCTAATAACGTTTCCTCCCTTTTAGAGAGTGTCCAGGTTTTTGAACCGTATGTGAGTACCGGTCTTATTAAGGTTTTGTATATTTGGCATTTTGTTTTTCTGGAGACGTTATCTGATCTTAGTTGCCTAATTAAGCCAATCTCGTTAAACAAGAATTATGTCTTGAACTGCCGCTTTCAAATTGTAATGGGAGATGGCTCCATCTGAAACAGTGGTATTATTTATCATCGATAGATAGCTTTACGTTCGGCTTCGAAACGCTTCAAACGAAACGACATAGTAACAGGGTTGCCATATCAATTACGTTGTACAACAATTTGGCAGATTATAACAAAACTTAGTAGGAATGTTATCGGTTTGAATTTTGAACTGGTCATGCTGAAACTTACAGAGTTACAGAATAGTAGATACTGCAACTTTTATTTTGAAAGTATATCATAAAATTTACACTCTATAAGTAATATATCTATAAAAAAACTTTTAGTTTTAAAAACCTATTTAAGTAGGCGTTTTTAGTAAATTATTTTAGTATTTATAAACAATAGTGTTCCTTGCATAATGTATTAGTGGTAATTTTTGTATTAGTATTAGCGTTAATTTTAATGTTCGGACAATATGCCTTTTAAAAAGAATAGTAGGAGAGGATTCTTCTTCTTCTTCTTAAGGTTTCATCTTCTAACGAAGGTTGGATATCAACATGGCAATTCTTATTTTACTTACTAGGAGAGGATTACAGTTAGTTAAACGGTAAGTAAATCTATTATATTTTGTTTATTCCTTACCGACCTTCTAATAGTTGATCTACCATGTAAAACCAAAATCTTGAAAATTTAAAATATGCAAGTTAAATATTTTAAGAAAGGTAAATTTAAACTGTATTTGATATTGTATTCAGATACAACGTAAGTATTTTTCTGAATGTGATATTAGCAGGTGTGTCTCTTTTGTATAAAAAATATTTGTGATGTCATGGTAACTATTTAAAATAAAAGGACACATACCAAAGAAACAAACATATTAATCAATGTTTTGTCATTAATTTATGTAGATTTTTAGTACAGTTATTACAAAAAAAAAGATGACAATGCCAGGCTATAAAAATAACAAAAGTTAATTCTGAAACTAAATAAGTATTGCTTTCAGAAACATAATAAAAGTCTGTATCTTAAATTAAAACTAGTTATTCTCAAGGTACATAGATAGGTACTGATAACTTATTAAAAGCAGTTCAAAAATTATCTATTATTTTTACCAATACAGGGTACGGTTATAACTAGCTAATAAAAACTGTCACGTTTCGGTCATAATTTGTACTTGTTGAACATTATTGGTTAAATAAACAACTAGAATGTCCTGTTTCTTTGGTTGTGCTATTTTCAGCTTCTGAGAATATAGTCTCTAGTGTAATATCAAAATTTCTAGAATTTTGGTGCCTTTTTTATGTCATCATAGATTCGAACGCTTTATCTTGATAGGAAGTCTTGTATGAAAATGTGTTAACTTTTTGTTTTTCAATGTGAATTATCTTTATTTAACACCATCTCAACATATCTCCATCTTCTTTAGTTATGTAGTTTTCACAAGCAAGTTGTTTGAGATCAAAAAAACTTTCATGAGTCAGTTCTTTCACTGAATAAGGTGGCCCTCTTTTCTCGGCAGTTTTTATTAATGTTGTATATTGGTCAGGCACATAAATTGGAGACTTCAAAGCTCTGGACACATTTCTTTGAATTGTAGAATGAACCGCATCGCCCTCATTTTGAGTGTATCCTTTAATTAGAAGTTTGTGAGTAATACTTTTCAGTTTTGGGGTATGTATTTACGGCATAAAGATACATCGCCACCATATATTTATTTTTTTTTTACTAACCACAGCAATTATCGCTGTAAAACACAACGTAAATTAGCCTAAACAAAATTAAAATAAAAATACAAACGGAAAGCGAACCAAAAAGGATTTTTTGTTTACGTACGTTAAATTCAAAGAAATGATTCATTGTAAAATTCAAGTTAAATTGCTATTTCTATTATGAACTAATTTGCGGAATATACATATTCAGACAATGTCCAAATAAA